ATTAGATTAAGAACGTTGATACGAAACCATTGATAGAAAAACCTACCAATTATTTATCTAATTTGATTCTCTTATTTTTCTCGTATTATTTGATTTTTAATTAAACTTTATCACATATTTCCAAAATAGTAATGTTCCCTATTTATATTTGAACTACATTGACTTTTTACTATTTTACAAATAATGATAATATTTTTTTTTTTAATATATAAAAGCTCTTTTGATTTTATTGGACGTTGACTTTCTACTATTTTACAAATATTGATACTAGATTTTTTTAGACTGATTTTTTTTTTTTGGATAAGCGGTTAAATCTGAATGAAAAATAGTTTTGTACACATGTCAAAAAATTTAAAAAATTTATGTTGGTTTTTTTTTTTGCTTGAGTAATCATTGTTTCTATGACAATATCTATGTTGTAATTTTATTAATCCCATGAAACTAAAATACATATTCTATTACATATCGAATAAGATAGTAATCGATATTTTACTACCTATCAAATAAGATAGTAATCGATGTTTTCTTCATAAAAAATCGAAACAAATTTATTGAAGTTTGAATTGTTTGGTGAAAAAAATATAGAGAGAAAAATATTTAAATAGATAAAAAAAATATTATAAACTTAAAAGATATGAGCATACAAATCTGAGTCTATTCAAACTCAAAATATTTTTACACGTGTATTATAACATTTTGATGGTAAAAAGGTGTTTGATTTTTATAAGTTTGTCTTTTTAAATAAGAATTTCTTAGCATGTGGCAAAATATAATTGAAATAAAATTTAATATGTGCCGAAATTCGATCAATCAATACCACATATCACGATTGTGTTAATTACGACATTTGACATACCAATCTTTATTTAATAAGATAGCCCGCTGATCAACTATTTGCATTTATTTATTAATTAATTATCCTTTAACAGTCTTTTCGAATGAAAGAAAATTTTCTACATTTTGTTATTCTCATTTACAGTGATTTAATACCTTCAATACTATGCTTTTTTTGAAAAGAATTATTCCGAAATGATTAGCACTTGTCAATGCACATTATTAACATAGCATGTGTTTAGATTCTTTAGATGATATATACATACAAATATGAAAATATAATCAATGGTGTATTTATGTGGACTACTATAGATCTATATGGTCACAATCAAATCTAATTCATCTTTTCGATGGAACCCAAAACTTTGATATTCATCGTCATGATCAATGTAATCACCACTCCACTTCCTTCTCTCTCTTCCCCAATCCATTCCAACAAAACACCAACAACATCAACACTAACTTCTGCTCAATACAAAACCTCAACCCGCAACACCATTCAACAACAGTTTCTCGGATCACACAACACCGTAAGAGCCAAGCTTCGTCTCCCTCCTCTCAAATGGAGCAACAATCTTGTCGCCTACGCAACTCGGTGGTCCCGAACCCGCCGTGGAGATTGTAAACTTATTCACTCAGGTGGACCTTACGGGGAGAATCTCTTCTGGGGAAGCGGAAAAGGGTGGACTCCACGGGACGCGGTGAATGCGTGGGCCTCGGAGATGAAATACTATGACCGGAGGACTCACCGATGCAAGGGCAATGGAGATTGCTTGCATTACACGCAAGTGGTGTGGAAGAAGAGTTTGAGGATTGGGTGTGCAATTGGATTTTGCAAGAGTGGTGACACATTTATCATTTGTAATTATGATCCTCCGGGTAATATTGTTGGACAACCACCCTTTTGAATATTCTGTATATCATGATAATATTGAGGTTGAATATGATATTAAAACCTCATGATAATTTTGTTGAAGGGAGATCAAATTCCCTTGAGGTACCATTGGTGAACGACTTAATTGTTAGTGAACAAGAATAACTCAAAGAGAGAGAAAGCGATACAGAGAGAAATGGGAATATGTTGTTATTCTCATTAAAAAGTTTGTTACACATTTACATATCTCTTATAGAGATCAGTCTTGGTTTACACAACATAGATAACCGGTAATCTGACTTAACCAAACCAATAATCAATCTTATA